CAGGCTCTCCGGACCGTGCGTCCTGACAAATGGGCCGCACGCACGCAGGCCCAGCCGTCCAGGTCTCAAGAGGCCACAGGGGCTTGCCGCGAGGGGCTGCGGGCAGCAGGGGGTGGTGACCGAGCCACCCGCTCTGCCTCCGGGGGCCAGGGAGGCGGCGTGCTGCCCGCACGGGCTGCCCGCACTCACCGCTGCCCAGGTCCACAAACAGGTCGTCCTCGGTCATCTTGATCTCGTCGATCATCTGCGCGACCAGGTCAAAGGAGGTCTCCCCGTACACCTCCGGGGAGAAGGGCTCGTAGTTGTTGAGCTTCTCGGGGTCCGTCACCGAGTGGTTATACACCTGCTGCAGGATGTGCCGCAGGAGCCCGTTGGACGGCCGGGTGTTCAGTTTCATGGGCTGAGTGGTCCCCTTCCACTAGGGCGTCAAAGGGAGCACGTCACAAGTGACGGTCCTCCCGGCACTGCGGACTCCGCCCGAGCCGGCTAAAGGCTCACACGTATGTGCCGTCCTGGGCGCCACACCCCTCAGGAGACGGCAGAGGCCGCTAGCTGTGCGGGCCCCGCAGCCCTGGCCTCAGAGCTCTCTGCCCTTACCCGGGAGCCTGGCTGGGCAGAGAAGTGGGCCGGGAGCCACAAAAAGGCTAGCGCCTTGTGGGCCCTTCTTAGGGCCCCATGGCCGGGACCTCTGCCTCAGGGACAGGAGCTGGGCCCGAAGGGGCAGTGGGTCCTCTGACCCCTCACAGCCCACCCCCTTCCGACGCACAGCAGCTGCCCTACAGCCACCTGCAGCCAGGACTGGGGCACAGAGCATCCCCGAGGACCTTCCCACCTAGAGCCACAGGGCGGCCTGGAGCCAGGCCACCACTGTGCGGGGGACTGGAGACCGCACGGCCCGGCCCAAACCTCAGGCCCCGCCTCCTGCCCAGGACAAAACTGAGGCAGTGGGGTGGGAGTGCCACACAGCTGACCCCAGAAGAACCTCTGAGCCCCAGTCCCTTTGCACAGGAGGCCCGAGGCCTGACCATACTCGACTGACTCAGCATCCCCCTCCCCCATCACTGCTACTAACGGGGATGACTGCCCTGTCCCAGGCCCCGGTGCCACAGGGCCTGTCACCCCACCACAGCCTCCCCACAGCAAGGCTCCTGCCGGAGAGCCCCCACCCAGACCAAGAGCCCACACTGTCTGGACAGCAGAACGTCCTTGGAAACAGGAGTGACGCGCTCTTTGGAACTGCTTCCGCAGCCTGGCCTGGCCCGGCTGTCTCTGTTCTTTGCCAGGCGAGGCCTCCTAAGGCCCCAGCATGGTGGGTCAGGAAAGCGAGGACAGAGCCTCAGGCCTCTCCCCAGTCAGAATGTCCCAGGAGGGCGGGGAGATGCTCACAACACTGCTGGCCGAGGGGCAGGAGAAGCCCCGGGAAGCTCCTCAGCGTGTCCGCCTGTCACAGTCTGCGGAGACGGGGCACCAGCGGGAAGGTACGCGTGCGCGCGAGCCTGGGGATGACCGCTGGGCACACAGGGCCCGAGGACGCACCCCACCACCGACAGCAGCTCCCCAGACCCAAACCACATTCGTGCGCCCCTGCAGACGCCTCTCAAGGAAGCCCACACTCCAGGTGGCCTGCAGGCTCTGGGAGGCGTGTGGTTAAAACCACCCGGGGAGCGTGAGGGCAGCCGGGTCTGGCAGCCCAGCACAGGCCCCAGGCAAGGAGCCGAGCGTGGGGGGGAGGGCAGAGGCCACCTACCAGCTGGTGGATGCTGTCGATGGCGCGGTTGTACTTATCACAGAGCCTCTGCATGCTCTCGAAGCTGGAAGGCAAGGGAAAGGCTCCGGTCACGGAGGAGCTCGGAACGAGCGTGGGGGCCCAGCCGGCCTCTCGGGAGGGACAGCCCAAGGCCAGGCAGAGCCAGCCTGCCCCCCGGTGGGCAGGCGGAGGACTCGGGCCCCCAGGAGAACCGCGCGTGGGCGACGAGGCCGAGCCAACAGTCTGGGGCTGAGACAGTCTTGGGCCACGTGCCGCGTGCTTGGGGCGGCCTGCGGAAGCCGAGGCTCCCGGGTCAAACCCAAGGTCAACGGCGCGCCCAGGAGGTGTTAGGTGAGGAGGTGAGGAGCCCTGCACAGACTTCACGTCGCGCTGTGGGCAGGACCCGGGCCGGCCGTCACTGCCCCCGGGGCCGGACAGCAGTCCCATCTGACCTGCCAGCAGGACCCACTGCCCCGCAGGGCTGTGCACCAGCCCCACACGGTCTTCCTTCCCTGGCCGGAAACAGCCCCTGCCTCAGCCCTAACTTGATGGGTTTGGGGACCACCCGGCGGCAGCAAGGGCCCCCTGATTCTCCTGGGCACCGCCCAACACCGGCCTCTGCAGAAAGTTTCCAGCGCTTTCCAAGACATAGGTAGCACATGTTAGATACCTAAGGACAACCGGGCTGGGAGTCTGTCGGTGAGACTAGACTCTCCCAAACCCCACCATTTTTACTTCAAGTATGACTTTCAGTGAAATCCTCTAACCCAGGAGCCGCCCCCACCCCCCACCCAGGGCTGACTCTGCCTCCAGGGGACACTGCGTGACATCTGCGGATGCTCCGGGGCACTTCCGGCAACGACAGGGTGGGGCCAGGGACGCTGCTCAGCCTGTGACAGGGTCCGGGACGCCCCACGGAGGACAAGACCCGCTTGCTGTCAGCGGTGCGGAGGGGACGTGCTCCAAGTGTCTGCCCCAAACCGGAGGGGGAGTCACCGGCTCTTCCTACAACACCCACAAACGCACACAGAGCAAGGAGGCTTCCCGCCCTGAGCAGGACACCAGGAGCCTGGGAGAGGAGCCTCCACACCCAGGGCACGGGAAGCGATGGCCGCACCGTGTGCACCCCGAGCTTCCTGCCCCAGGCCTCCCTGCGTCTTCACCGACCGCCTGCCCCTCATCCTCGGCCACACCCCAGACCGGCCCCCTAGTGTCCACTTGCAATCTCTCCTAAGCCACCTGGACACGGAAGGGAAAACCACCTTGAAGGAAAACAATCCTTAAAAACACTGGCCGGGCACAGAGCAATCAACCCTTTTCTGACGGTGTGCTTCGCTGGCCAAATGCCTGTCCAAGGGTCAGCGCCCGTCCGCACCCTCGCCCTGGGATCGGGAGGGGTGTACCCCAGTCCTCGGCCGGGCCCCTGCTGCCAGAGGCACAGGCCACCAGAGCCCAGGGCCTGAGCGCTCGGGACGACGGAGGGTGAGCACAGCCCCTTCCTTGCTTCTCAAGTGCTGAGCTGATCAGGGGACGGGGTACGGGGCCAGGGCTGGCTCAGGCTGGAAGAGCGAGGCCAGGTCAACGACAGTGGGGTGCCGGGCCCCGCGAGGGGCTTCGGGGCTCCTCTGGGCCCAGCTATCATGCCCGCAGGTGACCCAGTCCTCCGGACAGACTGCAGGCCGCTTTCAAGCCTGCCCAGAGCTAAACCGGCAGGAGTGGGGAAGAAGAGAAACAAATAACTCCAGGCAGGCATTCCAGAGCCGGCCCCGCCCTTCCCCACCCACAGGACTCTCCCCATCCGGATGTGCCCGCGGGGAAACTGCCAGAAGCTGCCGGAGGGTGAACCCCAGAGACCCTGCCTGGAGCCGGCCCGGCGCCCGAGACCGAGACCGGGGAGGCCCGTGCCAAGGCGCCGCTGGCGGTGGCCGCGGCCACAGAGAAGGCAGCACCCGCCAGCCGGGGCTGGCCCCGCACACGGCAGGGGCAGCGCCCGCAACGCGCCCCTCCCAATCGCGTCCTCCGGTGTCTGATCCACGTTTCCCCCAACAAAACCTCACGGAGGCGCCAGCCAACCCAGACAGGGAGTCTCAGACCAGAGACCACTCGGCAGAGCTCGGCTCACCTTTTGGTGTCGTAGTCGATTAAAACGTAGTTCTCCATAGCGAGCTTGAGGTCCGGGATCTCTTCGCAGACCCACCTGAAACACAAGTGTAGAGACAGCAGTGAAGACTGTTACGATCACCTATTTTCCGCTCTCAACGGTCTTAAACACGGTTTGCTCCCGAATACTGAAGACAAAAACGAGAACAAATCCTCATTACCG